AACATTCCTTATTTAATTTTAAAATCGTCTGTTTTTTATAATTAGCTCAAATCATATGTTTCTTTGATCGTGGAAAGATTTACGATAATTTTACGAAATGAAAGTTTGAAACGCATTCCTTTTTGACTGCAAAAATTACATGAGGAATATTTAGTTCGCAGCCAGAAGTGAATACTCTGATTAATTTCGGAAAGATAACCTGATATTCCAGGCGGAAAGAAAGTGTTAAATACAGTAGCTTGAAACTTTATTGATGCTGCAGGAGTTAGGAGTCATTTCCTTCACAAACGTACTGAAGGTTCGGGGAATTTATTCAGTAAGTCAGCTATATAGCAGCAAATTGGCTGGAATTTGAATAACATAATAGAATCTCTATACCGTTTACACCTCACTCTTCTTTAATTGCTTTACTTCCAAGTTAATCTACAGTTAATCTCTATAACCGAAAATGGCAAGTCGAGCTATGAACGTGATTCTGCGATCGCATCTGTCGACGTCGTCTCGGATCGGATGCGCGGCACGCATCAACAAGAATATTTCGACGAATGAAAGTTCGCCGATTGTTTATAACCGAAAATGGCAAGTCGAGCTATGAACGTGATTCTGCGATCGCATCTGTCGACGTCGTCTCGGATCGGATGCGCGGCACGCATCAACAAGAATATTTCGACGAATGAAAGTTCGCCGATTGTTTCCAAGTTCTCCGTTTCCGAATTGGCGGACAAAGTGGCGTTCTGTCGCTGCTGGTTGAGCTCGAAGTTTCCAAAATGTGATGGCTCTCACGTGAAGCACAACACGGCGACCGGCGACAACGTCGGGCCTGTTGTTGTTGAAAAGCCGAAGAAATGAGTCTCAAGCTGAATCTTTGAGGTTCATGAAACATGTGTTTCTCTATACAGTTGAATGACTTGAATCTGGGTTCTTCCAAATATCGGAAAATGAATTCTAACGAACGCCTTGCCCTGAACCTGGTGCGTCAACTTCTGACTTCGCTCACAGCATAAAATAAGTAAATTTTAAACGTCTTTCCTTCTTGGATCTGTTTAAATACAGTAGTGAGTATTCATATAAGGGAGTTCGTAAGATGGTTGAAAAAAGATTCACTCAATTATGCGAAACTGTAAAATTAAATGCAATTTATATGATAAATTTATTCGGGTAAAGGCCGAAGTATTGCATTAATTTAGTCTCATTTGGGTGACCTATGCACAGCTGCACTTCACACACGAGGTTAAAGTACAGTACAACTATAAAATATTGTATGATGTTTCAACTAAACTTGCGCTTCAATTTTGATAAAGACACTATATGATGCCTCTTCTTAAAATAAAACCCACATCTTTTTGCTTGGATTTCAATGGAAATCTGAGGATTAAAATACTGTATAGGACCTTTTCGAAGTGGAGGAAAATTGACAAACCTTTTTAGCTCTGGAAGCAGCTGGAGAAAATTGATTTTTTAATGGTCAAGTGCACTCAAAAATTATTCCAAGCATCGTATCTGGCCTTATTGAAAAGACTAATATAATGACCGGAAGAGTTATTTGAGGAAACTTTACTGACGAAATTCGCATTTGATTAAATGTTCTCCACGTCTTCCCTCGCTGCGTTTCAATCATATTTTATTTAGAAATTTTTACACGTGCTCGTTACTTGATTCAGCATTCGTAAAAAAATTTTTTGAATCGGAAAAGGGCTTGTACCCTTATTAAAATTTCGGAAGGCCTTATTTCAGAGGAAGTCATCTTTAATGCACCGAAAAATCACTCATCACCATCACGACCTAAAAACATTGCGTGCAACCAGTCACGGGTCATCAGGATAACAATTTGAAAGGAAGCACTTCTTTCTCGTCCCAGCTGAATACGAGGCTGAAAACCTTGGCACGTGGTTTGCTGAACAAGGGGGTCTCTTCGTAATTTCGGGTGTTATTTATTCCTTCTTGAAAGGGGACTTGATTTGATAGTCTTCCCAGGCTACGACACTGATTGGACGCAAATCTGAGCATTTGACTGGCTTGTTGTACCGATTCACGTTCGGCGACAACATGGCAGTCGGCTGCAGGGATTTCATTTCATCCGATCCAGAGCAAATCAGTCTTGCCAAGCTCGTTTTCTTGATTGCAGCCAGTTGATCTACAGAATGCCAATCGATTATAATTCATAAGTTATGCATGTAGGCACTGCGCTTTGCATTGATTGATGCAATGCCAATGAACTTTGCGACTGATTTCTACAAATCAGCTCAGGGAAGACAGACTGCCTTCATCCGAACTGTCTTCAAATCTTCCCAGCTACATTTTCAATTTAAAAAACTAAACTTTCATGCTCATGGGGCTAAAAACAAAGCATCATATTCAATGATCATCTGAAGCAAACGAATAAATCGAAGGGTGATTGACTAGCATATAAATTACTTTGTGTGCCTTCAGTCTTTCATCAATAGCGAATGAGGGGAAAGTACATTGAATAAGACCATTAATCTAGCCATTATTCCGCATCTGATTTATGAGAATGAAACGAGCGAATCGAAACTAAGAATTAGTCATCATTTTAATAGACTGAACTAAGGGAGAAATTAATTAGTTCAATTAGTATATTCACCTGCGGGATAATCAGGTCCCATTTAAAAATTTCTAGCTTCGCATCGGAAGTGTGAAAATGAAATCAGTGAAACTCGTGAGATCATTGAAATAATTAATTCCTCCGTAAAAGTTCAGGGGTGTGTGGAAATACATCCTTTTGTTAAACAAAATGCATAGCTTCAATAAAATCTGATTTCCACAAATAACCTTGCTTCAATTAAACGATCACATTTTCCACAACATCTTAAGAATGGTGGAGATGAACTTTTATTCAAGTTATATCCGTTGAAAATAAAAATCTCGAAGAAGGCAAAATTAAAAACACTTGCCTCTGGTGAGTGGGTAAGGAGAAGATTTTGAATCGAACCAAAACCTGTCTCCGTGTTTCGATCTGAAAAACTGTTCTCCGATCAAACACTGCAAAGTCGGTCCCAACATGCTTCCTTTTTGTCGGAATTCGGAAATCATTCCTGAAAACGCATCCACATCATCGACGGACCTATTCGCGCGAAAAACAAAGGATGCTCCGAATTAAAATCACTCTTAAACAAATCATATCTGTTTGGGCCGCTTTTGAATTTGATAACACTCACTTGTAAATAAGACTGTGAAGATTGGAAGTGCAACCCGTGGAAGCGTTCAAATCGCTGATGGTTTCTTCGACTTGGAATGAAGCGATTCTTGACAAACCGCAATATTCGCGCCAGTCATTGTAAGGAGGCAAACCTCGATCACGGCCACGTTGAATATTTACTGCCACTAAATCGAAGCCAAAGCCGGAATCGATGGTCTCGAACATGTGGTTCGTAATCTGTCATTTGAAAAATTAAGTACAAGAGAGGCATTTTTGATGAATTAGATGATACCCCACTCACATGATAAGAAAAATGGCTCAAATTGATCAACAGAAATCAGCATAGAATCGCCAAGAATCAGTTCTACACTATATATATACTTTATATCTAAAAAAATATTAATATTTGGCAGTGACAAATAATTTGCCTATATATATAGTCATAATAATGAAAGGAAAATTCACGTAGAAAACGAAACACTTTTCTGCTTGAAAACACGTTTTTTTTTCAAAGCATTTTTAGCACGAGGTCATATACATATATATATATGGCGGTCATGATAATGCAAGGAAATTTCACATGGAAAACGAAACACTTGGCTGTTTAAAAACACGTCTTTTTTAAGCACGTTGAGCACGAGGATAACATGCAGTATGAGATAAGTTCGGTGCATGTGTAAGAGCATTTTTGTCGGATAAAGATTTTAATATTAAAGTTCATTAGATGCGTACGTTTGACTTTCAGATTTCTTCAGGGTGTGCGCAATCATTGCTGACGACTTATCGCAAAAAAATTTGCATAGTTTCTGTTTTCTTCTGACCTGAGCTGAGAAAAAGCGACCTCGTCCCCTGCTTTCCTCTTCCGAATAGCCCTTCAATAAACCGTCCATTTGACCCGGGCTGTACATTCGGCTGGAATTGAACTGAATTTCATGGAATGGAATATTCTCCTCAGCCGAAACTCTCTTCCCAGCTTGATGTATCCTTGCGAGTCCCTGAAATACAGCAATTCCATGTGATCACGGCTAATGTAATAGATGAGCTCCTTGCCGAATTATTGAAATCGATAGCTACGTGATTTTTTGGATCCTGGATCTGATTTTTTTTTGTCTCCAGATTCAGAAGCTAGATGCAGTACGTTACTCAACTAAAAAAAAGATAGCACGGCAAATGTTTCTCATAATTAGGATAAGTACGGTTATAGCTCTTTGACTATCTAATTTAATTCATATTGAGCCCAAAAATTCTTGAAACGTTCCATATTCCATGTTGAATATCACTCAACTAATGCATTTTGGTTTTCATATCTCAAGCAGGACATCTATCATTTTTTTTAGTTCGTTAATTGTGACATAGTTTATTGCGAAATATGAAGGCGACTCCCCGACACCGCCAAAATGCAGAAACTGGTCACTTCATTGATCTGCCTTTCAATTCATCAGCCGGTTGCAGAACTAAACGAAGAACATTTTTGCAATAATAAGGGCGAAAATTTTTTGAAATGCTTGAAGAACCGCTTTTGACTGGAATGAACAACTTTAAAACTTAGGAAAAATAAAGTGCGCCCACTTTTGTGCTGCTGCGACCCATTGATCTGAAGATAGCATCAACATTTCTTTCAAAACGTGATTGAAATGTCACAGCTAACAGCAGAATTGATAAGAAGAATAAAAAATATCAAATCTTCCTGATAATTTGGGGTTAAATCTTTGAAATTTTTATAATTCCGATAAATCCGTTCGGTTTTTAAGGGATGTGAACTGCTTCATAGCAGTAAAGTCACACAAATTATAATATGATTATATGATCTATATTATACGGTAATTAGTCGTAAAGAAATCGTATAAAAGGCCAAGAACCGCATCATTCATGCAGCTGAGACGCTTCGGGAATTTCCTCATTGCAGCCGATGCTGTCATCACATATCATTGCATAAATCAATAACTGAAGTAAATTCTTGGTTGATGGACTCCACCACCATAAACAAAAATGATCAAAGTCGATTCTTGAAAACAAACCTGAATCGTGGCATGTCCGAAACGGAAGGCAGCCCCTGCAAAAACGTTCGCGACAGTTGGGTCCAAGTCTTCTTGGTAACCGTGTCTGCGCGCAGTTTTGTGGCCCTTGGATTCCAGAAATTGGCTGGCTTCTTGTTCCCAATTTCGACCCATGAGCACAGGCAAATATTCGTGATAAGTGATGTACTGAATTTGTGCGATAACGATGCGCCGAGATTCTTGGTAGATCCGTTCATCATCCCAGTGCGGGTTCAGTTTCGCTAGTTCTTCAGCGATTCTATTGTGTTCCCTGATGAACATGGTGTGGAACCCGGTCAGAGCCATGTTTTCTTCGACTCTAGAATCTCCTGTGAACAAGAGGCAGAATGGATGAGAACTAATGAAAGAATTTCAGTTAAAAGCTTTCATATAAATAACCACGATCGATTGAAAATTCGGCGATCGACTCAAGAATAATGATTCAAAAGTGTTGTTAACTGTATGATCAAAATAGATTACCAAATTTTCTGAGTATCAGAATCCCGACACCACTGCAGGATCAAGAATTGAAGATAGACTCCGTTCATTGGCCTTTTTCTGTAATAGCATTTATTTACATTAATCATACTTTCAGGGTGACATTCACATTCAGCGAAACGTAAAAAAAGCTAAAATTAAACTACATTATTTTTTTTATAAAACATCGTCAAATCTAGAATATTTTCACTACGAAGATGACTCTTTTTTTCTGGATCACTTGCTTGGGCTGCGACGATTCCAAAAAAAAAAAAAAAAAAAAACAAAAAGGGAAAATTNTCGTTTTCCATTTCCTCTGACGAGTTTTGCGTCAGCGTCGGTGCTTCCATAGATCAAAGACCCGTCGATGAATCCTGTGTTTCCGTTCAATTGCGCTCTCGGACCTGCCGGATAATTGATTCATATTTTGGCAATATACTGCCTGCTTCCAGGAGAATACAGTTTTCCGGTTTACGCAGGAAGTACTCTGACCTGATGGGGTCCTCGAGAATCGCGACTTAATATCAGTGGTTCCGACAATATGTTCAATTCTCCAAGTAAAAAGGATAAATTTGAATAATACGCTTTTTTTAATATCGGAACAGAACGAAAGAAATAATTCCATCGTTATTTATACTACTTACAAAGGTTATAACAAATTTGTCAAATGCCAATGAGGCGGCCAATGTGGCGGCTGTTGATGAAAATGACGGAATTATCTCGGAAGACCGGGAGGCAACCCTAGGAATTAATGCCATGTTGATTTTAAGAATTCTGAGGGGAAAGCTGGGCTACAACAACAAAATCTGCAGGAAGGGGGCCTCATCTTTTGAGTGGAGAGCAAAACTCTGCCAGGGTGAATTTAGCAAAACATCAAAAAAATTTTCAAACAGGGCTGATTTTTTTCTTGTGCCAAAGAATATGTTTTCATTAAAGAATTTTTTTCAGATCAATTATATGCCATTTTAATTTCTATTCCGATAACTTTTGTTGAAACCCCTCGTGGTTCCCTCAAGCAGACTTTACATGGAGATCTTTCTGACTTACTTGCATTTTTCCAAAAAAAGAACCTACTTTAATCCGTCCTAAAATGCGCCATAACGTTGAAGGCGCTTCCAAAAGATTAAAAAGAGCATGACAAATAATTGAAAATTCTTAAATATTTTTCATAGTCGTTTTGTGCAGGAACCAGACATATTTTATGCTACGACGCGTGTGAATAGGACAGCCTGTGTAAAAACCAATGAAACACGAAGAATGCACACGTACAGACTTTCTCTCAGATTTTTTTCGTATCCTCGTGTCCCATTTTTAGAAACGCGAAGAAACCCAAGAATTTGGACAAAGATAATTTCAGGAACTAACTTTTACCCTTTTTTTTAAACGTTAGAACTTTGAATATTTTTGAAATACCGCACCTAAAAAGTTGGGGTTTTGAGTTGATCGCTCAAATGTTTTCCTCTCCAGAAGGAAATCATGAATAATTTTTGAAACGCGTGAGACTAAAAGTTCATCTGCTTTTTATGGCCACATTAGCGTTCATTCGTTTATAGTACATAGACATAATATTCGATTTAACAGCGTCGTGAGAATTCGTATTTACCAAGTTTGTCCTGAGGGGCGACCGTGTCCCGGACCAACGTCAAACAAGTTATGTTCTTCTCGTCATAGAAATGATCACCAGGAGG